AAGGCATCTAATGTACATTTATATGCACACATATCACCAAATATAATGTGTATTAACTCAAACTATATAATAAAACCATATACTTTGGCACTACTTTATAGTAAGTACAGATTATACTAATATACTAATATGTACAAATTAGAGTTTACTTCAGTATTTTAATATATTAAGCAGTACTTGAGAAAGTGAGGTCTTCCATTACAAAAGACAAGTACGTTTCATTCCGACTTTATACAAAAGTAAACTACCATTACTTATAAAAAACTATATTTCATTATATATCAAAAATATTCAGAGTAACACAAATTATAACTTAAAACATTTACTCCCTAATGTTAAGAAAATTCACTAAAAAAAAAAAAAGAAAATTCACTTACTCACTAAAAAATTAGACTTTTTTCCCAGCTTTACTGAGATAAAATTGACATATAACACTGCGTGTGTTTAAGGTATACACGATTCAATATATGTACATATTTTGAAATAAGATTCTGAAACATAACATCAGATGCATAATTCCTTGATGCTCCCTCCACTACAGGGATTACAAATCATCCAACACCCCTCCCTCAACCACAATGTCTGTTTCATTTATACTTTTTTTCTGACAGCATATAGTAGCTGCATTATTTCTATAACAGTGTAATGATTTCTGGATATAAAAATTCCCAAACTCTATTAAACAATTAGTGGTTTGATGAAATATAAACTTACTTTTATAATTTTCTTCCATTTCTAAATATGTGGGTAAACAACTATTAGTATACAAATATTAATATTCTGCTCATCACCACTAGGGTATCCCTGTCAATAATCAATTACTCTATTTCTGCTACTTTAAGATTATTAATGAAATTTTATGTCAGAATGCCAATACATTCTAGAAAGGCCAATGAGAAATATTAAAAATTGGGCTTTCTTTGGCCCCATCTGGACATGTAGACTAATACTCTGTGAAGGTGAGGCCAGGAATCTGTATTTTTAACATACTCCCAAATGATTTTATTGCACATAAATCTGAGAAACACACATAACTAACTCATCACAACCTACTTACATATGTAGACAAGGAGACAAAGATTTGGGAATGTTGCAGATTACTTTAAAATATGCAATCAAAATTTCTACAGTAAAAGGAGTTCAATTATTTTATTGTTACTGCTTAAGAGATTCTTCTTGCTAGTTCTGGGATGACAGGTACCTATGAGAAAGCAACTGTGTTGTCAATGTTAAAAAAAACTCAAGTGATCTTAAAAAAAAAATCCTCTTATTCTTTATAAATGTTTATCATAAAATAAAAGTTAGTATGGTTAGAGTAGGGAATAAGTCCAATTAGTCCAATTTATTTTCTCAGAGTTAACTGCTAACACAAAAAAGCTTAGCGCTACTTTCAATCTATGACATTCTACAGAATGTTGGTCGTAAAGTGACAATGGCTAAAACATCTTTTTATTATTACCTTAAGAATATCACTTAGATTTTAATGTGCATTATTTCGTACATAAAATTTTATTAAGATGAGAACATTTCCCCAATCATTTTGGTAGTTACTGGATAAATTAAGCTCGAATATTTAAATTTATAAAACCATATTTCACAATTGTGCTAAACTGCTGCTCCCTGGAAGACAATATAGCCAATTAAAAACAACGAAGTCTCTAATAAGAAGGTCCTGAATATGAATCTAGCAGCACCACTTACTACCTGTGTGACCTTGGGCAAGTTATTGATACTCTCTTAGCCTCAATTTCCTTATTAGGAGGATTAAATGAGATAATATATGTAAAGCTCTCAGCGAAATGCTTGGTAGATGCTATGCTAGTCCTCAGTAAACGTTAGCCCGTATAAACATATATATAAACATATATAGCTATATAAACATATACAGTATAAGAAGCCACACAAGAAATTATTGATGATGGCTGCTTCCAAGAAAAGCAGCCTGGGTTGGGATGGAAAGACTAAACCTTTTTTATACTCTTTATATTTTTAACCACTGCTTACAACACCTTTTCAAAAAAAAAAAATTAAATTATCTCTTGTGCTGTAGGATTTCTTAGTGTTTAGCATTATGCACTGCAAAAACTGAACTGTGACTGCTGAATTCGCAAAGAAGTAAGTCATAGTCTAATAATACCCACAAAGAAATATACAACCTATCTGATTTCATGAATCTGTTAGGTGTTCTTACTTGCTTCACAATGGCCATTATGGTCTTAATTAAAACACCTTAAACCAGAGTTTTCAACCTCAGATGACTATGTCCCTCAGGGGACATCTGGCAACAGAGACATTTTTGGTTGTCACAACTGAGGAGGTGTACTACTGGCATCTGGTGGGTAGGGGCCAAGAATGCTGCTAAACATTCTATTATGCATAGTATAGGCCTTTACAACAATAATCAGCCCAAAACATCAGTGGTGCTGAAGCTGAGAAACTCTGCAACCCAAGGAACCATTCTGCTTCACTCAGAAAGTCACCAGGTTCTTCATTACAGTTACCAACAAAACACAACACACACACAATAAATTCTCCCCTCAAATAATGAAGTAAAATCCTTCAGGACTGGCAGACTAGGGTCTCAATAAATGTAACTATTGTTAGCCACTGTTGTTGTTAAGTTTCTGAAATTCTAGCAGCTAGAATGGCTTAGGTTTGTGTGTCTACTCAGTTCAATACATTTCAAGATTTTCAAAGCATTTATTATTACGCCTTCCAAAAGTTCACTCTAAATTATTTCAAGAGACTACAGTTTACCGTTCTTTCCTGTTTTCAAATGATATCTGAAAAACCAAAAAGCTCAAACAATGTACTACTAACGACTAAAATACAACAGGGCCTTTATTTCAGTATGTAGTTTTATCAAGTCTTCCCAATAAACTTGATATTTTCACATTTTCCTTAATACACTGGCCTTGGTCTGTTTTATACATTTTGAGCATGTTAATAACCTTCAAAAATTTAAGAAACTATTAACAACAGTCCATTGTGTCTGATCAAAAAGACAAGAAAATTAATCAGCAGCTAAGTAACTTTATAATGAGGCATGAAAAATTACAAACTAAATCATTCTGTTCTCCAAACTTAAAGCATATCTTGGTGTGCCTTATCAAAAAGTCAACCATTAAGAAAGAGCTTTGGGAAATGTCTTATCAATATTTGGGATTAATCTTGTAAAAGAGTGCAAAACTGAACCAAGTGCCTATCAAAATTTACAGCCTGTTCACAAATAGGTTGGAAAGAATTTTGAAATACTGCTACTGATAACACTGTTATTAGTCATACTTTACTATCTTAGTAACTGCTTAACTTCTTTTACACCTTTAAAACATGTATCTTTCCCATTATGAAAGAGTTGAGTACTGTTTTAATACTGATTTAGTATTTTAATACTGTTTAACAGTCCACCACATAATTAAAACTTATTCTGATTTAAAGTATTCTTAGGGAGAAAAAAGAACATCTTAATTCCTTCCTCCAAAACAAAACAAACCAGAAAAATACACAGAGTAACGTGTGTTTGCAAATATAAGATGCAATAAAGTTATTCTTTCACTGCTTGCCCAATACATTTGCGATGGACACAGGTATCACTAGAAATTCTCCATTCACTCCGTCACTCTCCCTGAGCATTTAGAACTTTAGTACTTGTCCAAACCTGCTTGCTCATGCTCTAATAATAAACCTAATTATACAACCTGTAACAGCCCCTGACAACCTTTTCCTTAAGAAGCCATAAAGGTGATTTAACTAACACCTCAACCTAAGTCTTAGTAAACCTATTTCAAAAATAGATGTCTTCATTTCAGCCTCTGGGTTCTGCCGAGGGCTCAGGGCCGCTGGCTGTGGAGCGGGGAGGTGAAGATCCGTCAGAACTGAGAAGGATACAGGCTGGGCGTTGGGCAGCAGTGGTTAACTGCTGGTTCATTTCTCTTTAAATCTGGCAGCACGTGGGGCGGCATTGTGAAGCCACCGACCCGCCTCCCCCCTTCCACTCCGCACACGTACGTCCCCGTCCCCACTGCGCATGCTCCACTCACACAGTCCTAGCAGAGTCGGAGCCAACCCCCTAAAAAGTCAACCTGGAAGCTGCAAACGGCCGGAGGCCGGGACAATGGGGGAGGGGGGACGCAGGCACCTCTGGGGAGGCAGACTGGCCACCGCCCCAAGCCAGAGCCCGCGGGCCTCAGCCCCGGGGACCTGCAGGCCTGCACAGGAGCCGGAGTCGCTCGGAGCACAAAGCCCCGAGCCGGCCAGCGAGCGGCTCTCGGCTCGGCCCGCTCCTACCCTCCCCCAGCCGGGCGGCGCAGCCGGAGCCCGTGCCAGGCGGAGGCAGGCGAGGCGGCGTCCCGCGCCCCGCAGGGTTCTCAGACCCCGCGCGCCCGCGACGAGGCCGCGGAGGCCGGGGCTTTTGTTGTCCGCCACAACTCCGTGGACCCGGCGCTGCCTGGGCAGAAGTTTGGCGCGCCTCACCTATCCGCCCGGGGGCCAGTTCCTCTCGCCCACCCTGCCCCCGGCTGTCGGCCCGCGGCTCCGACAGCCGAGCCCCGGACGCGCAGCCGGCCCGGCCCAGACGCTCCTCCTGCCTCGGGGGTCCGGCTGCCTCTGCCGCACCTGAGCCCGGACCCGCCCCTCCAGGGAGGGTCCGCCCGGGCTGTGGACCTACAGCCCCTCCCCCGCAACGTCCCACCGAACGGTGGGGGAGGGGGCAACCTCCCCTCCTTCCCCCGGGGCGGCAGGCCCGGTCCTGGGGCCGAGGCTGGGGCGCGTCCCCGCCCCTAATGCCCTAAGAAAGCAGGGAAAGAAGTAATGGGCCCGGCTGGGACTGGCGCCCTGGCTCCCCAACCTCGCAGGCCCGCTCCCGGCCTCGCCGGGGGCTGCCGCTTCCCCTCGCCCGTCCGGCCGCCCGCCCGGGAGCGCCCAGGAGGAGGAGAGGAGGAGCAGGCAGCTGCTCGCCGCGATCGCGGCCCGGGCCGGCGCCCCTCCACCCGCCCGCTCACCTGCCAGCTGTCTTCGCAGTAGCAGTGCCGACTGCAGCTCCGTCATCCTCCCCGCCAAGGGCCCGGGCTGGCGCCGGGGCTTCCGAAGAACTGGGGACAGGCTCTGGGGCTGCTCGAGCTGGGTGTGCTGAGGAACCCGGGCCCCCACGACGGGAGCGCCGAAGCCAACGGAGGCTGGGCTGGGGCGGCGGTAGCGGCGTCTCGCTGCCGGTGCGAGTCAGCTCGCTTCAGCTTTCCTCACAGCGCCTCACGCCCGGAAGGGGAGGGTACCCGTGCCGCCGCGGCGCGCACTGGGACTTCGCTCGCCCGCTTCCCTCCTTCAACCCGCCAGTCGGCCCCACCGGTGCCTTCCCCCGCCACTGCCTCACTGCGCGCAGGGTCGCTCCACGCAGGCGCGCTGGGGCTGCCTACTTCGGAAGCTGCCCTCCCGCTAGGCCGACCCCTCTGGCTCCCTGCCCCGCCTCCGGAGGCGGAACCCCGCCCCCTCCGCGCAGTGGCCCCTGACGCCGCCATCTTGGGAAGGTCGCCGCCTGGCCTGGTGCCGGGGCCTCGGCGGGAGACGCCCCGCAGACGCCATGACAAAGAGGTCGCGGAGGGTCAAGACAGCACCTCCGGGTCGAAGCAGGTGGTCTGAGAGTGAAGCGGCCAAAAGAAGTGGTAGGTGCCTAGTTGTTGGCGAGCGCCCAACAGCTATCTAACACTCCACATATGGTGTGCGAATTAGTCATTGTTAAAGGCGAACTTAGTGTACACGGTGTGCCCCATTTTAAGCACACCTCCAAAATAGACTTCAGATATGCTAGTAGTTCACTTTACAGAAAGTTGCACAAAAAGATTCTTGAAATAAAAAAAATGTTCTGCATCTCATAGCACAAAATGTTTAAACACCATTAATAATCTCTATGTGTAAAGTGAGTTGAGATTAGCAAAATCTGATATACACGGTACAAAATATCCAGAAAGGCATCTACTATGTAAAGTCTAAGTGCGGGATCTAGGGTTTGGAAAAAGCAACCTTACCCCGCTCTACCTCTTCTCATCCTCATTCCCACAGCTTTCTGCCTTGCATAACAGAGTCTTAATAAAGAGACGGAGCAGAAGGAAAAATGATACCTAATGGCACTCAAATGTATCTGTTCCTTCAAAAATATTTACTGAACCTGGGCTTCCCTGGTGGTGCAGCGGTTGAGAGTCCGCCTGCCGATGCAGCGGACACAGGTTCTTGCCCCGGTCCGGGAAGATCCCACATGCCGCGGAGCAGCTAGGCCCGTGAGCCATGGCCGCTGAGCCTGCGTGCCCGGAGCCTGTGCTCTGCAACGGGAGAGGCCACCATAGTGAGAGGCCCGCGTACCGCAAAAAAAAAAAAGAAATATATATATATATATATATATATATTTACTGAACCTGCATTAACTTTGCACCTGAACTGTAGAAGACACAGAGAACACAGCTCTGTTCCTATCCTCAAAGGTCTTACAGTCTCCGTGAGCTCCAGGTAGGGTAGCCAGAGGAGGACCAAGTTCTAATACAGTTTCTTGATTCCAAAAATTACTGAAAAAATTGTCCTCACTCTCCCCCTAAAACAAGACTTAAAAGGAACAAATAAACATTAAGAGTGAATCTGCAGGGCTTCCCTGGTAGCGCAGTGGTTAAGAATCCGCCTGCCAATGCAGGGGACACAGTTCAAGCCTTGGTCCAGGAAGATCCCACATGCCGCAGAGCAACTAAGCCCGTGCGACACAACGACTGAGCCTGTGCTCTAGAGCCCGGGAGCCACAGCTACTGAGCCCGCGTGCCACAACTACTGAAGCCCGTGCGCCTAGAGCTGGTGCTCTGCAACAAGAGAAGCCACCACAATGAGAAGCCCACGCACCACAACAGAGTAGCCCCCCTCGCCGCAACTAGAGAAATACGACGTGCAGAAAAAAAAAAAAAAAAGAGTGAATCTGCATAAAAACATAAATCTACCATTAAAAAAAAAGGTGAATCTGGACTCCTTTGGGAAACAACTCCCTGGAGCTAACCCAGGTTTTGTGAAGCCTAAAATTTACTCCGTTTGAAGGACTCGCTTTAGGGAAAAAATTTTTTTAATTGCATTTGAATATGATTGTCTATTTAGAATGAGAAAATAAACCACAAATAACTGTATGCTTGGAAAATTGTTCCCTTTCTCTGAGATCTCTTGAGGCAGGTTGTCAGAAATTCTGCTTGATTGCAACATGGTTTCCTCTCTCACCTAAAACAAATTCCAGCCTTCAGGGGAGCTCTAAAGCTTCCTTAGCTTTACCAGAAAAAAAATCCGTTTCTGACACCATCCCTCCTTTCTGGACCAAAAATCTTTCTATTTAAGTAAATTTTTAGTTTTATCAAAGTAGTAAATACACATAGTTCATAACCGGTGTATTAAGGATTATAGTGAAAAACAAACGTATTTCTCACATGTGCCCTTCACCATTCCTAAATCCTGCTTACCAAACGCAACCCCTTTTAACTCTTTTAGCAGTTTCTTCTCGTAGTTACCTCCATTTATTCTAAATGATATAATGCTTTTTCTTGACTTATCCATTTTAGACCTTATATATTTATTCTTATTGTAACTGATAAGGATTTAACTGTCATGCTACTTTCCATCTTTTATTCTCCTAAATTATTAAATTATCGTATTTAGTTATAGCAATAAATGGTTTTTACACTATTGTGACTTTGTAAATGTTGAATAGGAGAGTCAAATACTATAATGGATTATATTCATTCCTTACACAGATTTTTTTTTGGAGGCCTAGTGTTTCTAATTATACTTTTTTTTTCTTGCAGTATCTTGATTATAATTAATATCCTTCCCTTCCCTATCCCACCCTAGTGCTATCGTACCACTTACCCTATCAAGCCCTTTTTCTTGAAACTCTCCCTTCTAGAAGTCTCTATGTTACCCTCTAACCTGGGCTGGTTGCTTTGGGCTATGCTTCCTACATAGAAGTCTTCTTAGGACTCCCCTTGGCTGCTCTCCTGGGCTGAGTCTACTGCATCCTAGATCAAGTCTAATTACTTTTTGTTACTCCCTTCTTTTGCTGGAGCATATTATCAGATAACTTCTGATGAGTATACATGAGGGAAATTTTCCAAGTCCTTATAATAACAGCTGAAAATGCCATTATTTTAAACATCTATAATTAAGTGCCAGTTTAGCTGGGTACAGAATTTTATGTTTAAAATCAAATATTTTTCTTCAAAAATGTGAAAGCATTGGTCCATTGTCTTTTAGCATCCAGTGTTGCTGTTGATTCTTATTCCATTGTCAGTGACCTCAGTGACCTACTTTTTTTTCTTCTCTGGATAGTCCTAGGATTTTTTTTTCTGACTGTGTTGGGTCTTTGTTGCTGCACGCAGGCTTTGTCTAGTTGCAGCGAGCGGGGGCTACACTTTCTTGCGGTGGGTGAGCTTCTCCTTGCAGTGGCTTTTCTTGTTGTGGAGCACGGGCTTCAGTAGTTGTGGCTCATGGGCTTAGTTGCTCCACTGCATGTGGGATCTTCCCGGACTAGGGCTTGAACCCGTGTGCCCTGCATTGGCAGGTGGATTCTTAACCACTGTGCTACCAGGAAAGTCCTTTTTTTGTATTTTAAAGTATCATGATAATATGCTTTGGTTGTCTATAGGATGTTTTCTTTTTTTAATTCACTGGATTCACAGTGAGTTTTGTAGTGACAGAATGGTTGTTTTCATTTACATACAGAAATCAGCTTAGAATAATGAGATAGTCTGCATTTTTCTGGTATATAAAAAATTATTTTAAAAAGCAGTTGAGGGGCTTCTCTGGTGGCGCAGTGGTTGAGAGTCCACCTGCCGATGCAGGGGACACGGGTTCGTGCCCCGGTCCGGGAAGATCCCACATGCCACGGAGCGGCTGGGCTCGTGAGCTATGGCCACTGAGCCTGCGCATCCCGAGCCTGTGCTCCGCAACAGTGAGAGGCCCGCGTACCGCAAATAATAATAAAATAATAATAATAAAAGCAGTTGATTTTTGTATGTTGATCCTGCAACCTCACTAAACTCTAAATTAACAATTTATAGATTATTTTTATTTTCTATGTAAATAATGTAAGTCCAAATAATGGTGTTTCTATTTCTTTCTTTTGATACATTGTTTCTCTTTTTGCCTCACCGTGCTGGCTAGGACCTCCAGCAGAGTTGCGTAGAAGTAGTAGTGGGCACCTTTATTTTTTTCCATTCTTAAACGGTTATTTTGATGTTTCATTATTTTTTTCATGCTGTAGATTTTTTTGTAGATCACTTTAACAAGCTAATGAAGTTCCCTTCTATTCCTTGCTTACTAAGATTTTTTTAAATTTATTTATTTATTTTATTTATTTATTTTTGGCTGCGTTGGGTTTTCGTTGCTGCATGCGAGCTTTCTCTGGTTGTGGTGAGCAGGGGCTACTCTTCATTGCGGTGCGCAGGCTTCTCACTGTGGTGGCTTCTCTTGTTGCGGAACACGGGCTCTAGGCATGCGGGCTTCAGTAGTTGTGGCTCGTGGGCTCTAGAGCGCAGGCTCAGTAGTTGTGGCACATGGGCTTCATTGCTCCATGGCATGTGGGAACTTCCCAGACCAGGGATCAAACCTTGTCCCCTGCATTGGCAGGCAGATTCTTAACCACTGCGCCACCAGGGAAGCCCTAAGATTTATTTTTAAAATAATCCCCAAATCTTTATCTCCAGCCCAGATCTTTCACTAGTTCATGTCAGCGCATCTAACTGTTTAACTCTGTGTTCATTGACCTAACAAATGTTCATTGAACACCTACTGTGAGCTAGAGGTGATTCTAAGACCTAGGGTCGGGGAGTAAACTAGACAGACCAAGTTCCTGCCCACATGGCACAGACATCCAGTGAGAGAGGACAATCAGTTAAAAAGGTAAACAAATATTAAACAAGTCATCATTATAACAAGTGATAGGATAGAAGTAAAAAAGGAAGAGAGTAAAGTTTAGATAAGGTAGTCAGGGAAGTCCTCTCTCAAGAGATTATATTTGAGCTGAGTTCTGAATTACAAGTAGGAGATGCCATTTGAGGATTCTGGGGAAGAGCATTCCAGGCGAGGAAAAGCTACTTCTAAGACCCTATGGTAAGAAAGACCTCGGCTTGGGACTTCCCTGGTGACACAGTGGTTAAGAATCTGCCTACCAATGCAGGGGACATGGGTTCGAGCCGTGGTCCGGGAAGATCCCACATGCCGCAGAGCAACCAAGCCCGTGTGCCACAACTACTGAGCCTGAGCTCTAGAGCCTGCGAGCCACAACTACTGAGCCCGCAAGCCACAACTACCAAAGCCCGCACGCCTAGAGCCCACGTTCCACAACAAGAGAAGCCACCGCGATG